TTTTTTATGAGATCAAGGTTTCAAAATAATTTACAACATTGAGAAGCATGGGTTGGCTGCATGTACCTATGAAATTTTTACTTGTTTGTGTGTTTATGAAAAGAATGAGCATGAGGTGACATTTTCGAGTTACATATCACGTATGAGTGTGCATAATCTTTAATTCTCGTGTTTGTAGCTCATTTGGAACTTGAATTGTATAGCTATTTTGCAAGTTGGATTGGAGCTCCAGAAAATGATGACGTAGATGCAAATGGACGTCGGCATGTCGCCCTATTTGAATACTAACAGGGGACGGAACTTCAGTTCGCATTATAATTGTACTTTTTACCTTTTTTATTTACTGAGAATGATTTTTCTACTACATTGTAAGTCTATTCTTGTATGCTATATTGTTTATGATACAGAGAAGCTGGGAAAGAACAATGCCAGAGCATATTCTTCTATTTTATGATCTCGTGGCACTCGTATATAAATAATTTAATATTGTAGTCACTGTCGTGAACTATGTGTCAACAGGTTGACAAGGTCAAGGCCAACTAAAATGCTATTGCTGTGAGGGTAGTTGAGTTGAAAATGGAGGCCTACAAATTTAGTAGTAAAGACAAAAGCATGTCATTTCAAAAACCAAACCACATGGAAGGTGGAGTTAGGTGGTGTTTTATGAGCCACCTTCGATAGCTTATTTGTTTGGTATTTGTTCATTCATTTTTGACTTGTGTGGCATGAAATGAAGTTGAATTTTGGAGGAGAAACTATATTTTTTTTGGGATTTGCGTGCTCCATGGTTAGAACCTCCAATTTACTAAAAACAGGATTTTTAAAAAATGGATTAATTATTGATTCGAAGAGGAGAGTCGAATTAGATACATGTATTTGAATGGTTATAAGCGAACTATTGTAGATGTTTCGACAATCAAGAATCGATTTTTTTTTTGTTTTGTCTTAACTTTTCCGGAAAGCGGGGGAATTTCTGCTAGTTCTAATCAATTAAAAAATTCGAATTCAAATAAAATAAAAGAATTCGAAATAGAAAATGTAGAAGTCAAACCGTGGTTTATTTTCGGTGGGTTCTACTTTAAGTTTTAGAAAAAAGCTAATTGTACAAAAAAAAGTTTGACAAAAAAGTTGACAAACCCTCACATGATTGCCGGCCCTACGTGAATAAAAAATTGAAAATAAAAAGTGGGCCCCCCCCACATTGTGAGGATTTGTCAACTTTTTTTGTACAAGTAGCAGGGTTGTAAATTTTAATGTCTGAATTTTAGATTCAAGAATTGATTTTATTTCGAGCACCATGGAAATTTTTAGAATTAGAGAAGTCAAATACTTGCCCCAATTGTATAAACTTCAACAATTACTCCACATTTATACTTTATTGTGAACTAGAACTAATCGGTAGATCCAATTCGATCGTATCATTATATAGTTTTATATGTGAAATTCTTATTGATATCTAATTTATTGTATATCACGTCATGTTCAATACCAAGAGATTTTTAGGAGAATGTATGATTAAAAAGTAGAGAAAAGTTTTGAGTTTACGTATAGAATATTTTATTGTGTGAATATGATTGAAAATTAGTGTGTTGAAAAACTAATTTTGAAAAAACGAGTTGCCAAACGTGGGCTCAATTTCTTGTTATATGACGGTTGGTGGAATTTGAGAAGGGTAGGTAAGGTCCCTAAGACTACTCTACGGTTGCTTTTGGACCGACCCTTCCCAAGAGTGCATTTTAGTATACATGTAATAGATTAGACACAATTAACAAAGAAATATTAAAATTCTTAATCATGTCGATGGCGGTTTGTCATTAAGCGCATATTTGATGGTCGTTATCTTAAAAAAATGGGATTTTAAATAGTGAATTTTTTGAAAAAAATTTAAATCTACGTGCAAAATATTTTATAGTTTAAATATATAATTTAAAATGAGTATGAAAGTTTAAGAATTTTAAAATAATAATTATCAAACATGGGCTAAAATTTATTATCTAATTACCCCTTGCATAGTAGGATAGCTATCATTCTAGAATTTCGAATGATTCATGCCATACAACGTTTACACTAGTAATAACTCGATTAGACACAAACGTAAAATTTTACGTATACCAAACTACAGTGTCTTACACATAACCTAATTATGCTTTTTAAAAAATCATTAATGTGAAATACTATTTTTGCCAACATACAAATTAAAACATTTAGGCCCTGTTTGGTACATATTATTTTTTTCATTTTCATTCTTCTGCTCATTTTCAATCATACATTTTTCAATAAAATAATATTTTCCATCACATCAATAACTTTTCGTTTATTTTTAATCACACATTTTCCATCAATCTACTATTCAATAATACATTCTTTCAAAAGAATGTGTCCCAAACAAACTCCAATCCTTAGTTGATCATCTTCAACCCTCACTCTACACCAATTAATCTTCAAACCTAACCCTATCCCAGTTTCATAAATTAAACTCACAATTAACATAAGAAGCCAAGAAGGGATTTTTCTGTCCGTTCGTAACACCAAAAAGCCAACAAATTTTGGGGCGTTTTATGAAGACAGTCCCAGCAAGCCACTATGTATTTCGATTTCTTTAAATAGAAATGACACTCGTAAAGAATACATCTTTCTATTGTATTGTTTCAGTCACTTCATCTTCTCTGACTGATGTTTATGCTGCTTTCTCTTTGCCACCTTTTCTTGTAATTAACTCATCTTTCCTTTCAAAACCAGGCCAAGCATTTGATTCTTGATTCCAACGGTGTTACTATTCATACTTATAATATATTAATGTAAGATCTCTCTGTTATTCATCTTAAAAATTTTCCATTTACTGAATAATTTTCTTGATTTTTCTTGGCTGTTGACTGCTGTTTTGATAGCGAGTTGTTCATGTAGGTTTCATGTTCTCACGATAGTTGTAAAATTTGTGTCGCATGGGCTGCTTTTTGTTGATTTTATTATTTTACTCATTTTGGGAGTTTCTATTTTTTTTTTTCATGATTTAATTCCCATTTAAGGAATATTTATTTTATGTTTTTGTATGGAAGCGTAGCTATTGATTTCTCATTACATCTAATTTTGTTTGGTTAGTATTAAAGTATTCGATTGATGGGTCGTTTTGATAATTTGAATTATAATATGTTACGATTACATTTGTTTTTTAGTATAGTAATGTCAATAGTGTACTGGTTTAAAGTGGTTATGAAAAAATCATGGTTGTATCCATGATTTCTAAGTTAGGGGCAGACATAAAACATTTAAGGTATTTTACATTTTGCTCAGTTGAAAAGAGAATGATTTTTTTTTTCCCCTGGTTACTCCTCCTTATTTTGTATTTTCCACGTTTAAGTATCATATGCGTGAGATTCTCAAAGAAGTCAGACCTCACAATAGATGCCGATTTTCTCGAAATTTTGTATTCATATACAGTTTGAGAAGTGAAAATAACTGTATCTTTTGATATTGTAACATTTGACTTACACTGTTATTTTGGTTTCACTTTAGAATGGCTGCAACAGCATTTCACCAAGCATTTGCTACTCTTCAATCCCATGGTTACTTTGGTGATTCGGGTCTCAATCAGGAGAATGGAAATGCTTCATTTAGGTTGATATCTAAAGGTGTTAAGCTAGATAGCACTCTGTTGGGAAGAGGAACTTACTGCTCTAGAAAGAAATTTTTTAGCATTAGTGAAGCCTCGACTTCTCGGACTACAATTTTCGGTTCTGTTTCTTCCTCATCAAATGGAGCAACTAGTGACTCCAGAAAGAAATCAAGTATAGTTATCTATGTTAGATTTTATTTTAAGGAGAATCATATTATAGTGCTGTGCTTTTCATTGTTGGAGAAGATGAAGGCTTTTTTCATAAGATTTCATACAATCTTCTGTCTATTTTTTTCCAGGTGAAGCTGCATTGATCTTGATTAGGCATGGTGAATCCATGTGGAATGAGAAAAACTTGTTCACAGGTTGTGTAGATGTGCCACTAACCAAGAAGGGTGTGGAAGAGGCTATTGAAGCTGGCAAAAGAATCAGCAATATTCCTATTGATATGATCTATACATCTGCTTTGATTCGTGCGCAGATGACAGCCATGCTTGCCATGACTGAACACCGTCGCAAGAAGGTAAATTGTCTCTGGAATTTGTTGAAAACAATTTAAGTGAATAAGTTTGTCCCTTCAAAGAGCTTAAACTTTTAGATGAGATTTTTCAACATGGTATGAGAGCAAAGAAGGGTGTTTGACTCTCATGGCCAATACTTTATAAAAGAGCAATGCTATTGGTACATAGGCATGTACATAATGTGAGTGGGGGTGGGGGTGGGGCCTACGCTACAATGTCGTGGGCTCCACCACACTCACATTATGTACACGCTTATGTACACACATATGTACAAGTAGATTAATCCTTTATAAAATAGTGCTTGAGTCAGCCATTTCATAAAAAAGTGTATCGAGTCTGCAGTGGCACATTAAGAACAATTTATATAAATTAGTTTGTTCGCCTCATGGGCGAGGGGCTTTTGTACCTCTTCTTCGGGGAGATTTCACATCATGGAATTTATTTTTGTCAGTATCTGATGAGATGTTGTGCTAAGTATTTAAGGAGAATTGAGTGCTCAGGATAACTGGACTTGTACAATCTTAATTTAGCCACTTGGGGCACAGGGAGGATTTGAAAATCCTTTTTCGGACTAAAAAGAAAATTTTCAGGTTTTTAGGGTTATGAATACATGTATAGGTTTTGATTCCTTGAGCCTTGAGGTTCTTTTAGACTAATTTATGTCTATATGCAGGTTCCTATCATTTTGCACAATGAAAGTGAGCAAGCGAAAGCATGGAGTCAAATTTTCAGTGAAGATACCCATAAACAGTGCATTCCAGTTGTAACAGCTTGGCAACTAAATGAAAGAATGTAATTATATATCATTTTGGCAATTTTTAGTCTGGACTTATGCTGGTTGGCCACATTTTAAGATTATAACCAAATATTGCTTCTGTACAGGTATGGAGAATTACAAGGTCTCAATAAACAGGAAACTGCTGAAAGATATGGGAAGGAGCAAGTTCATGAGTGGCGACGAAGTTATGATACACCTCCACCAAACGGTGAGAGCTTGGAAATGTGTGCTGAGAGAGCTGTTGCGTACTTTACGGAACATGTAAGAGCAACAAATTCATCCTCTCATATATGTGATTATCCGCTTGGTTCTATCTGCTTATTCATGGTCCTCACTTAATATTTAATGATCAAGATTGAGCCCCAACTTCTATGTGGGAAAAATGTAATGATTGCTGCACACGGGAATTCACTGAGGTCAATCATCATGTATTTAGACAAACTGACTTCGCAAGAGGTAGGGATTTGAACTTAGTGAATGTTTCTGCCATTTTCTTCTACTTATAACTGAACAGTTTATGTCGTTCCTTTTATTAGGTTATTAGCTTGGAGTTATCGACTGGGATACCGATGCTTTACATTTTTAAAGAGGGAAAATTTATTCGAAGAGGCAGCCCTGTGGCGCAGAATGAAGCAGGCGTTTATGCTTACACTAAGGTATGTTTTTTTTCCGTGTCATATGTAAAAGTGATTGAGACCAGTATTTTATTAATTGGAACATAATATTTTCTGTCTTCTGGTGTTGTCGGACATATATTTTTATGCATAGCAATGTTTCCATGGAAGTGCCAAAAATTATATTTTAGGAATATTTGCATGTTTGTTACTTGTATTTTGTTGAACAGAATTCTTTGAAGGAAACAATCTGAGCGAACTATTTCCAGACAAGAACTTCAGAATTATAGTTCCGATCTATATGAATAAACCGAGATAGAATATTTTATGGATCAGTATACACAAGATAGCGATCAATGGCCTATTTGAAGGAATCCGTTAAAAGATTTTTTGGCGCTTATCTAACTTATGTTGACCTAGACAAACGAATAGAGCTACTACATTTTCAGTGCATCCTGTATCAATTGATGCAATTTACGATCCCTTTTCCTGTTCAATTCATAATTGCAGAGGTTGGCTCAATACAGGCAAAAGTTGGACGAGAAGTTTCAATCTTAGATTGGAGGTATGAGAAAATTACGGGTCTTCTACTCATTTAACTCTTTATTTTAGCCTCAACTCTCAGACTGTTCTCTCCTGTGCTGCAGCTTGCCTTCCATTCGGTTTCTATGAACTGCTTCCTATTCAAACTCTAAAAGAAATACATTTGCAGACACTCTAGTCTCGGTTTTTATACCTCCTGTATGTCTTGATATAACTTAGTTGTTTCACTTACACCTTTTAATGTTTTACGATAGAAATATTTGAATTCTGAAATGTAATATAAAGTTGAAACAAGACTCTTCATTAATGATCGATTTTATGAGAAGTATGTGTTATGGATATGCCAAAATGCCCTCGTAATGGCCTTTTCGTCTGTGTATTTGGATTGTGAAATGCAGTTTTCTTTGGCCATGACTGTAAAATGCCTTGGACGATGCACAATCATATGGTAGTAATATGATGTTATTTTGAGAGAGAGGTTATGATTTATGACAAGAATCTCAATGCTGCGTGAATCTTTTGTTGTTGAAAGTTTGAAACCTATAAATGCTGTGTCTGATTCAGGGATGCACGTGAATTGGCAATATAGTTTAAGATACTTCTGGTTTAGAATAGAATATAAAAGTGTAGCTTAAACAATCTAAAACTCTTGCACAGTCCAGAACAGCAGCCAAATTCTAAACTTAATGAATATGCTTTATTCAAAAACTTCCCATTGTAAGGAGCACAAGAATGTTAAGTACCACAAGAACAATCACAAGATCAGTAAACCAAGCAGTTATTGCACTGAAGATGTCAAAGTAAATGAGCTACACGAGATATTTCTTGCCCAGCAAGAGTAAAAACCAAAGAATACGAAGATAGTGCCAGCAGTCCTAGTCGGACAGTCAAAATTATCACTAAACAACAATTATTGCATAGTTAGGAACCGTAAAGTGGATTATGGAATTCCCTCACTTCTCTTTCGAAGGTAGAGATTCATCGGTCAATGTGTGATCTTCATCATCCTCAGGAGACGATGATTTGTCCGCTTTTTCTTCAGAGGCATCGGATTCTGGCTCTGAATTAGCGGGGTCTAAACTGGGGGCAGTGGGAAGCGATGTTGCTGCCAGATTATTATCAATTGTCCAAAACGAAGGAATTCTTTTATCGTCCTCCTTCATTCTCTCAGCGTACTTGTCGATGTCAAAACCTGTATCATCTTTCCCGCTAAACGCAGATTCCACCACTTCCATGTCGAACAAATTATCCATGATGCTCATTGTATTAGGGTTGTCCGAGTAAACAAATTTGACTTTAGCAACAGTTTTAGGCTCTAGGAAAGGTTTCGCAACCTGGAGCAACAAGAAGCATGTTTGATTAAGCTTAAATAAGAAGTTGCTCAAAAGTAACTTAATTTCTTCAAAAGCTTAGCCAAACGTGATCGTTGAAGCAAACCATTATAACAGAGTTCCAAATAAAACCTACTGAGATGTGAATGAACTTCAAATTACAATAGTGACACAACGTATTTGAAGGTGTGTAAGAACACTAAGTATAAGATATAAGGGAAAATACCGTCCAAAATGGTTCAAATATCTTCGGTGGATCATATAGAATTGCAACTCCAAGTCTCTCGGGATAATGCTCTTGAAGGACGTGAGCTGTTTCCCGTGTTACCTTTATTGATATATTCGACATACTGAAACCATGAAAATCAATCAACCAGATCATCTGCTCCTGGTCTTGGGGAAGATCTAGAATTGCATTCTCCATGCAATAAACCAAATACTTAATTTGGCCTTTTGTTGATTTTGTGTTCTGCATTGATATAAAACTCGAAAAAGTTGAGTAAAAATAGAGGACAGAGCATCTTTGCCAAGCTTAAATTATAAGTAAACAATTAAAGTTTGTTGGAAATCAGTGGATTACTTATAAGTACTTTTATATGTTTAAGAATAGCAGGAATTATCAAATTTGACCTGGCACCTAGGCCTCATGACCAGAACTGGCCTCCCGTGCTTATCTTTATAACTGGCCCTGTAAATTTTTCCAGTTTCTGCCTCCTTTGCAATATCACCCTTCATCACAAATTATGACATGTTAACCAGAGAACATATTTTGAGTCTTCTGACAACAACGAACACTCATAAGCTCGAAAATCAACCAGTTATTCATAAATATCTACAGTGGGAAAGAGGAAAGTCTCGAAAATACTAGTACAAAAAGGAGTACGTGAATAGAACAACTCGTAAACACATAAAATAACTTCAGACACGAATGCTAATATGCATAAACTGTCAAAAGCTTGAAAAGGCCAACTTTAGAAAAATGAAGATGGGAAGAAAAGCATTCCAATGAGAGTATTTAGATAAGTAGTCATTACCCAGCGAATTTCTTCAGGTTTGTATTCCATTCTCCACTTTAGGGTTGCTTTAAGCATTTTAACAGCCTTATTAACATTCCAGTTTCGTGCCCTTAAGTATCTTGATATGGAAGCATCGGAACAATAAAGAGCCAATTTACCAGACTGTGGCCCAATTAACCTTTTCACCTCGTTAATCTGAAAACAAAAAAGTACATTAGCACGAAATAATAGTGTTTTCAATGATGGTCTGCTTGGGACTGAAAATACCTTTCCCTGCTGCACTTCTGGAGCCAAAGAATTGTCACAGCAATTTGGAGCTGTTTTATTCGACTCAGAACTCATAATTCTCAATGCTTTGGTAGGAACTATTCTCCAGCGTAATTAAGATTCTCTCTGGTAGAAGAGTAAGATAAGTTACATGAACAAACCAAAGAACATAGAATCAAACCAACAAATAGACCTTGCAATGCAGTAAAGAAATGGCGTTAAGATGAGTTTCTGGCCTATGGTGCAATCATATTATAAACATGCCGAATGTGGATAGCCGTACTGGAACATTCCTAATAGTTCAGTGTAAGTTGCAATGCCAATGGATAAAAATTATCCATATTTTCTCCATGTTTTCCTTTCGTTTTACTGAAAGTAATTTAGTCCAGGGTTCATTGCCTTCAATACCGTAGGAATCACAATTTCTCAAGTCCTTCAATAGTTTTCCTCGTGATACAGCTTGAACCGATATCATAATCAATTAATTCATACAAAAATAAATAAATATTTCCTACACCTCTGCCACGAGACAAACTAAAAATTCTAAATGAATTAGCCACCATATTCTTCTTGTGAATTGTTGAATTAACATATTTAAGTCGTGAAAAATTTTAGTGTTCTTTTTCTATCTTAACTTCAATATGTCCATGGAAGAACATCTTCAGTTTATGCAGTTCAGATAAATAGTACGATGCCGGGATTCCCAGTACATACATTACATTTTCTCAACATTATCATTGGTCATTCATTCGCTGGTGTCTGTCTATATACATATAATTGTTCAGACTCCGAGCGAAGTAAATAAAAAAGAAACGAATTTATCAAGAAAACGAACAAGCCCACCCACAATTTAACATTGTTTAAGCGGCATCAATTCACCAAAGCTGAATATATATAGACACATTACTGCAGATTCACTTCGGGAGATTCAACAAGAAAACACCAAATGTCAGCTTCAAGAATTCAATCCAAAAATCCAGAAGAAAACAAAAAAGTCAACCATGATCCTAAAATCGGCACTTAAAGAAATGATCAATATCAACCAATTCAACTAAAGCACAGTTAGTTTTCGTTGTAATTACAATTACACAAAATCCAATAAAAGCAAACATAAAAAGAAATAACCCTGTTTTGGAAAAATAGCCACTGGCAAATAATGGTTAAACAGAAAAAAACTATAAACATATCATAAAGAAAATCAAGATATAGAAAAAAAAAAAACATAGATACCTGTTTCTTGCCTGGGCTCTGGAATAAGAATCAAGGATCTGTACTATTGATGAAGTAGAAAATGGAAAATAATGGTCAACCAAGAAAATGGTGCGCTTAAATTAATGAGAGGGAGGAAACGGATTTGTTGACTATAATACAAAATTATATTGTTTTATATTCTTAATGGCGCATACCATGTGGGAAATGCTGCAGATACTGATAGTCCTTGTTAGTCGAATGAAAAATTGCTATTCATCCTCCGTGGGGTTGCATCCCTATTCTACGTGGATGTCAATCATTGGTTAAATAATAGGTGAAATTAAATGACTTATTGGTTTAATTTCACGTATCATTTAATGTCACATTAACACCACATAAACTGAGGATGCAGCCACACTGAGGATGAATAGCATTTATCTAGTTGAATAAGTGTTAGAGTGTGTTTAGGACACATTCTTTTGAAAGAATGTATTATTGAATAGTAGATTGATGAGAATGTGTGATTAAAAATGAAGGAAAAGCTATTGATATGATGGAAAATATTATTTTATTAAAGAATGTGTGGTTGAAAATGAGTAGAAGAATGAAAATGAAAAATATAATGTGTACCAAATAAGGCCTTAATGTAAACTCTCGTGTACAGTAAGACTTACACTCCTCTTATAATGGAGTGTGGGGTTCGCGATTTTTTAAATGCGGGCCCCCCACCATTGTGAGAGGAGTGTAATGCATGATGTACACCCAAGTGTGTACATCAAGCATTGCTCTAATTTCCTACAAACTCGACGAAAGGTTAATTTCTTAAATACTAAAAACTTTAGACTCGATTGGTAAAATATAATTTAAATAAGAGTAATGTTATTTATCAGTATAATGATGAAACGTTGATGATATGTCAATTTATGTGGAATAATGAGATATGATAGTTCAATCCCCACCTCTCATGAAAATTGGTATGTTCTATCTCATTATTCAACATAAGTCATCATATTATCGATGTTTTATCATTATAATAATAATTAACATTAATATTTAAATAAAATAAAAAAATTTAGACTCCAACAACTAAATTTACTTCAATAATATCCTTATACGAGATCTTAATGAGAATGCCCATCAATCATTCTATTTGTACAATCTTATTTGTACAATCATGGATGACAATCTTTACTAGCATCACATCCATCCATTTTTAAAATTGCCAAAAACTTTTTTTTAAGATCACTTATTTATATTTTGTCACCGCCAACATTGTCAATAATGTTTGTCAATCACCATTGCACAAATAGTTTTAATTCACATTTTGTTACATCTATAAATTAGATAAGATTAAATAGTTAATCATCATTTTACAACATTACTCTAACAAACGCAACCTCGCCCCATAATTTCTTGTAATTTATACATGGAAAAATTGCAGTTACAGTACCAAATCGTTCATTTAGTAGCAAATTTTGTCCAAACCTTTTATTTGTACCACTTACGATATCAAACATTTCAAAATATCATAGCTAAAATTCAAATGAAAAGAAACTATTAGTTTGACCATTAGTTGACCAAATAATTAACATTAACCATAATTTTAACTAATTCTAAAATGATAAAATTGTACATTTTTTTCAATAAAAAGCACAATTATAATATATTAATAATTAAATTTAAAAAACATAAATAGAAGAAAAAAAATGTTTTCTTCTTCTTCTTCTTAAATCCAAAAGCTATCGCCATCGTCATCTTCCACAGCCAAAGCCACCGACGCCTCAAAAGAAGAAAATTTTAACTGTGTAGGATAAATGCCGAAATTGTGAAGTCAATGCAGTGTTCGGAGGCACATCTTCAAAATCCATCCCTCACTTTCATTCCGACATAATCCTTGAACACATCCTCAAAACCATGCACCACCACCACCTCAAAAGGTTTTTGGATTAAGCTTTGAGCACTGTTAACTTGATGAGAAGTGTTATGCGTACATGGCCAAAAGGTCCCGTGCGTATGGTCTTTTTCTAATTTGATTATTGGTTGAATTATTAGTCTTCTCCACGTGAGCCCTTTACGCACTCACCTTACCTGAATTAGGCCAACCCTTCTCATCTTCTTCTTCAGTAGGTGGTGTTGTAAGTGGGTTCTTGTTGTGGGACTGTGATAATGGTGGTGTTATGGGTTCTTGCTGTGGATGTGACTGTAGCAATGGCGATGGTGTTTCGATGTCTTTCGTCAGGGGAATCGTCATAATGGGTAGGATCTGGCATGTTAGTGAGTTCAATCTCAGGGAATCGTCATAATGGGTAGGATGTTGCATGTTAGTGAGTTCAATCTCTTGCTCTATTTCAATGGTGAGAGTTTGTTGTGCAGTGGTTGTTGCAGTTTTTTTACAATGGCGACGATGGAGCCGACATTGGGTGGGTGCGGTGGTGTCGACCGCTACTGTTACTGTTTGTGGTTTTGGGTAAGGGATTGGGGAAAAAAGGGAGTAGGGATGGCAAAAAAATCAGAAAAACCCGATATCCGCTGGGACCCACCCCGAACGGGGAGGGGAAAACCAGTGTTCTAAAATGCGTAATGCGTAGCGAAGCGTCGAGGTCGAGAATCAAGAATCACAAGTTTAGGCGTGTCAATGCGAAGAATAAGCGGCATAATGCGTTTCATATTTTTAAGGCATTAAATATATTTTTATATACAAAAAAAATTTTTACCAAAAAAAAAAAATATTGTTCTAAAATGCGCCGCCTAGGCGTGCCTAGGCGCGCGAATTTTCGAACAAAAAACGTCAAAAACGCATTTTCCGCGCATTGCACCAATTCGACGCGTTTGATCCACGCATCGCATTTTCGCGGCTTTTAGAACACTGGGGAAAACCCGCTTAAACGGGTAACGGGGCGGGAATGGGGCGGGGAATTATTCCTCGAGGCGGGG